ACTAGTCTCTAAGGGTTGATCATTTTTAACTCCTAAAAATGTAAGGATGAGTTTTCTCCTTACCACTAAAACATAACCAAAATAATCAATTTGAAATTTCTCAGCAACATACACAATGATAAATATATCAGCAATATCCTAACATAGGTACTATAACCAAAGAATGCAATATGTCATTTTCTTTTTATGTACGCACTTTCCCATGCACTGTGATTACAGATAATCATTGCCTCTTGAATTTCATGAGGTATTACACATATAGGTTAATAGTCATCAAGTAGCCCATGCATATGGTCATGAGTGTTAGTCAGGAAATAAGTATGTAACCTATGATGCTTTTGCTCTCATTAAATTACGAGTAACCACAAATAGAATTCACCACCCTGTATTTCTCCCCAAATTTCCAGCTTCATCTTCCATATTCATCGTGTATTTCTATAACTATCCACACTAATCTCTATCATATTGTTGATGGTACATTTTTCACCATTTATTTCTCATCATATATTTAAACAAGTCATGCCAAAGGAAATATATACGAACAGAAAATAATTGTAAAGAAATTTATGTTCTTTTGAAAAGAAAATGCAAACTAAAGGAATCACAAAGAAAAAGAAATAAAAAAGAGTTCTTGTTCCAAAAAGCACTCTCGACCACTTGCTTAGACTCTGAAAATATATTATTTATATTCACGAATGATGTCTGCTCCTAAACAGCTCCTAAAAGTCATCAAAAGTCAGCCAAACCAAAATGCTCATCGCAGGCCCCAATTGTTTCCTTTGAATAAGATTCTCAAAATCCTAAAAAATCTCTTTGATTAATTATACCAAGAGAAAGCACAGTAATGCATGCCTATAAGCACAGTCGTATATAGTCACAAAATACTCCTAAATTAGTTGTTTAGTAAGGTTGTGCTTCCTGCTAAGTATGGCCCTATTTACCATTAAATTTCTTTCAATTGCCACCTAAATACTTTTAAAACTTTTTGATTATTGAATCATGCTAAATTATAATAATTAATAATGAAATCAGCTGAAAAGAGTTAGACATATAAAAGTAAATTATAAAAATATTTTAAAATATAGACTTATCAATATTCTAATAATTATATTTTTAAGAGTCCTAATTTTATTGTAGCTCGTGTACAAAAACAATTAAAGTCTTCATCATTGAGTTTATAATTTTAGTGCGAAGGAAAGAGTGTAGCTATTATCTTAAGAATTTTTTCAATCTACAATACTCTGTGTGTGGTTATGATAGAGGAATGGAGGTTTTGTGGTGTTCTTGTCTGAAAAAAACAAAAAAAAATTGCTATGCACTCTACTTTGGGTGTTGACACAAAAGAAGGTTCGTTTGAACCTTTGTAATTACATTTATTTTAATAATTATAATTTATTTTAATATTTTAAGCTACAACAATGTTATCTCTTTGAAAATAAGATTTATGATTTCTTTTAGATATACTATCTCTCTTCTTATTTTCAAAAGTATTTTAGGTTAATGAATTATTTCTGAACTATTTTTTTAAAAGTTAATAATATCCTGAAAAGTTCTGGTATATTTTGGAGAATTTTTATAGTATTTTGAGGCAAATAAATCCTTAAAAGTAATATTATTTGACGCTTCCTAGACTATTATTCTTTAATATTTGAGACATTAATTATCTTTAAAAATTTTATTTTAATTATTTTTCTCATTGAACTATTAAACCAATTCCCCCCTCCTCGATTTTATCACATTGTATAACATTCTCAAGAATATTTAAGACATGTTAAACGTATATTTAATATTTTCAAAAATTAGAATTCTTAAAAAAAATAATTCTCAAAAATTAAAACATTCTGAACATCCCTTAATGAAAAGGAAAAAAAAGAAGAAGGAGAGAACACTAAAAATTAGGCGTATGCCCTGATAATAGGTTTGTGTGGGTAGGATAAAAACCTTCATGGTATCTAATAAAGGAGAGAATTTTAAAAATTAAGTCTGTGCCCTGATAACAGGTATGTGAGGGTAGGGTAAAAACCTTAATTATTTCTAATAGTTTTTTTTTTCTCCTTTTCTTTTTTTATAACTAATGATTTGACATTTATTTTGATGTGAATATAAAGATATTGTGAAAAATAAATTAGGTCTTTTATCGAATGGCTTTAGGTTAGTAATTAAAAAAATAATAAATAAAAGTATTTTTTTTTTAAATATGATAGGTCTACATTAAAAATATCAATAAAAATATTTTAATAACTTTGTATAATTTTTTTTTTTACTTTTAACTAATATATTAAAATTAATTACGAATGTTCTACAAAATTTGGGAATAGACATAATTGGTCACTCAAAAGGATCATGACATATAAGTAATAATGAAAAAGTTTACGATCTAAGATCATTTTTCACGATGTTTTTTTATTAAGTTTCTTACCCAGGGATGGTAATGGGTAAAGTACCCAATGGGCACCCGCAAAATTTACCCATAATGGGTAGGGTATTTACCCGCTATACGGGTACGGGTATGGGTGTGGGTAAAAATTTGCAAATTTTAATGGGGATGGGTGCGGGTATGGGTATCTAAGTACCCATCCCGCCCCATACCCGTATATATATATATATATATATATTATATTACTTATGTGAAGTTATATAAGATTACTTATGTGAAGTTATATAAGATTAATATAAAAATATATTTAATAATAAAGTAAACCAAAAAATTTATTTTGGTTTATATTTTTAATAGAAAAATTTATTTACTATTTTATATCATTTTATTAGGCTAACACAATTTAATTATTACATAGTTAATATAAAATTGACTTTTTTTAAAATATTATTTATATATGACACACATAAAATATTTTTTACACAAATATTTTTGTTAATAAAATCATATTGATGTTTAAATCATAAAGTGAATGATAAATAATAAATATATTATAAATATTTTATAAATTTTACAATCACCTACTATTACCGTAAACTTATTATTTATTAATAATATTTAAATTTTATTTTTATATTTTAATTTAAAATAATATTTTTCTATGTAACATATGTATTATAAGCACAACTATAATCTATTGAATCTAAATAAAATTATTCTTACTATTTATTCACATTCAAAGAAGTTTTTGAAAGGATATAAATATAAAAAATTATTGTTAATTTTTATTTGTTAATTTTTTTAAGATAAAAAAGTATAATTTTTTTAATATACACGTATATTTCTTTATTATAAAATTTTATTGTAACTATTTATCTTTTATTCAAATTCTTTTTTTTAAAATTTATATACATTATAAATATTTAATTCACTAAAATAATTTTTTAAAAATTTATATTTTTGATAAAATACTTTCGTATAGTATATGAGTTAAAAAATACTAGTATTAATATATATATATATATATATATATATATTAATTATATTATATTATTTTAATTAAATTTATTATTTTTCTTACAATTTCAAATTTAAAAGTTAAAAAAAATATTTTATGTATCAACTTTCTGTTATTAGTATTGAACTTTTCTACTTTAACTCTATTCTCATTCTCAATATCTGTCTCACTAAAACTTAATAACTATGAAATGTTATTCATTAGAGTTAGTTGTTAATGACGTCACAAGAGGTTACTAAGTGATCCCACACGAAGGGACAACCATTGTATAGATCTATTGCGTTGTCGTTTTGACATTACCAACAATCAAATCTCACACAAGATAGAATTATCACTCATAAATAACTTGTGTGTTTAGTTTTTTCTTATTGTTTCTAAGAATTTTAGTTTAGAAAATTATTATATTAAGATATATTTAACATTTATGATCTTTGAATATTTATTTTTTATCTATATTTGTACCTTGTTCGGCAACTACATATTGAATTTTTGTATTATTATGCTACTTATATGAAGTTATATAAACATATTTTTTTTTATAAATATTTTTTTCTCAAACAAGCGCGGGTAATGAGTACAAGACGAGTATGCGGGTACCCAAAGGGTACGGGTACGGGGATTAATATTCATACCCACACGGGTATGAGGCCGGGTATGGGTATTTTTTTAAAACGCGGGTATGGGGATGGGTACTATAGTACCCTACCCATACCCTACCCATTGCCATCCCTATTCTTACCTCGAATGATTAAAAATTAACGTTCACGTATAACAATTATTTTCTGTAAAAGCAACTTTGCGTATCTCTGAAAGGTGTTATAAGCAACTATTCAATGCTCTCATAATTCAAGTCTCAGTGTTCTCTTATTTTCAGTATTAATCATATGTGGCACTCCTTCAGTAAATTACAATTTACTGAATTTTGGTTTCCGTTATTCCAAATGCATATTTAGTCATGCCACTAGCAATATATTTCAATCCATCGAATTAAAAATAGGCAAGTTAAGAAACCATGACAGAAGAAAATTTTAGGTCAAACTACTGCAAAAAGATCTCAAATGTTTTTCAAAAATGAAAATAATTTTGATAGAAAATGATGATCCAAGATTTGAATCATGAAAACCAGGCATTTACTTTAAATAAAGAAAAATGAGGATTACACTAGATGATCTGAAAGATTGACCTTTGAGATAGTATAACAAACTATAGTTATTTTAAAGTCGTTCCCATAATTTTCTCAAGGTGCATCCTCATTTTCCTTTTATCCAACAATTAAGAGTTTGAGGAATATAATATTTGTTGGAACGGTGATATCACATGGGATAAGCACAGAATACATATTTTTATTACTTCATCATAGCTCCTATGATTCAAGAAACGTGGATTCACTCATTCCCATCAAGATGTAGCTATTTTCATCCACATACGTTGATGGGAACCAGATTTAGCTTACAAATTACATGATCTATAAAAGTAGCACTCATCTATGTTCTCTTTTTGGTATCAGTATCAATTAAAAAGTCTCTCTTGTAGAGACAGAGAAACCAATCAAAATCTGAGATATTCAGCGACTAAAGGAGCTGAATGAAATCGGGTCACGACTATTCAGGAATTTATTGACCAATCATAATTCCGGTATGAGATAGTAACATCACCACCATCACCTAAGAGATGTGTCAAAAGCCCTGCTTTTTTTGCATCCGAGTAATTAACTATCCAGTGTAGTATGTTTCTCTCTTGTCCGAAATCCGCAGAGTACCTATCAATGTAAACATTTCTTAAGCAAAGTTCTAGAAATTGAAAGTCAAAACCAAGTCTGCAGAAACTCACAAAGTGCTTACCACTTAAAAATTGGGGTGAGATGAATGGTCCTCTTCTCCAGGTCCACTTCAATTCCATCATTCTCAAAGAATTCTCTAGCAGCACATTTCAATTCTTCTCCTACTCTATAGGGCGAGAAAAATCTCACCCTTGGGCTTGATTTTGTTCCATTGCAAAGACCAAAGTGAACCAATGGATTCATTTTGATAAGAGCACACTGCAGTTTGATAGGAATCGGTTAGTCTTTCTTAACATGCATTCGTACTATAATGACAGGAAGCTGTTTTTGTGGGAAAGGAATTTACTGGGAATAAGGGAAAAATGAGGAACCAAGACACACAAAAGTTGAGAAGGCAGCACTGGTTTAATTTTAGGACAAACTTAGACCAAGTTCCCTATACCCTTGCCATTAAGTTCCCAAATCAAAATACTGGCATGTTAGATACTACCTTTTAGTCAGCAGCATGTTCTTAACAACATTAGAAAAAATATCCATATGCCATTGTTTGATTTTGAAACTTGATGCCAAGTATATAAGAAACTTGGTCCAAGTTTTTCCTTAATTTTACTTGGTCATTAATTGTTAAGGCTAAAACGAACCAACATGAAACTTTCCAAAACTCAACATTGAAAAACAATTTACCTCTAACCGCCTGTCTCCTGAGCTAAAGGGCTTGATTAAGGAGTATGGTGACCTCCGATTGCTTCTGAGGATACCATTTTTAATAGTACTAAGGGAATAAGGATGTCCTCCAATCAAATACTGGAAATCAGAGAAGGATCTCCTATTAATTACACCTTCTTGACACCCTACTCTAATGATAGCATGGATCACCATGGCATTGTACAAATTTAAGAAGAAGGCAAGCTTCTCGTTTTCTGATAGTTCCAAAAGATTCACCCTCTGCAGGTCTTGGGTCATGTTTACATACCTGCAGTTAGTAAAACACACAAATAACTTTAAATGCGTAGAAGATGATATTAGAAATTATGGTCACCTGTCAGGCTTTTTTCTTTCCAAGTTCTCTATAAACATATCTATCAAGAAGTTTGGGCCTAACTCAATCTCAAAAGCTAGCTCATGAGAGGAGGACTACTCAAAACGTTATAAGGAGTATTCTAACTTTATTCTTATCTAACAGAGACATCTTAACAATATCAAAACTCACTGTACTAGATGAAAACTTAACAACATTCTTACCAGGACAGAGGACACAGATGCAGGGACAAAATAAAAAAAAATTGCCGAGACAAGAAGTTATTTGGTTTGTAATTATTACTTCATTATTATAAAAAATATTTTGGCCCGCTGTCTGCATTAAAGTCTACACTGTAGATTGCTTTCATGTTTAAATAATGTAGAAATTACAAAGTGGTATATGTAAACAGGAAAGGGTTCAAGAGTGGGAAATAGGCTCCAAGAATCACATTGCTAGAACCAGAAAATCAAGGAATTTTGCCTAACATCCATTCCCAAGTTGTTCATTGAAAGTTAAGATTGTCAATCGAACTAATAAGTATCAGTATTGATTACTTCCAACCATGAAGCTTGATTGCCAGTTTACAATATAATAAATAGGAAACACAGTGAAAGTCAATCATTAGATAGCCGAAGGACTTGTCAATTTTTGCACTATTCATGATTAACTCACAAGGGATTTGAACTCTGATAAAATTATGGTTCAAGAAGAAATCAACTTAGTAGGAATTCAAGAAGAACTAAGTGACACAGCCTTGTTTATCATAGGCATGTTGAACAATCCCAGATGGTCTGCATTTGTGTTTGGTTCAACTTAGTGTGTGTTTGGAAACACTTTAAAAACACCTGTAAATGTAGATCTAACTCAGAAGCCCCAGCTAATAATATTGAAGTAAACGTAGATTCAGAACCCATACTCATTCAAACTTGAATGCAACTTGTTGAGATAGCTTTTGAGCAAGAAGCAATTATTTCATTTTCACCAAAATTAAGCTTTACCAACATGCTAATAGTCTATTGTATGTGACATACCTACGAAATTCTTCACTTTTGCTAATGGCCACATAATCAACACGTCGCCTGTCTTCAGAAGCATAAGACTCGAGAATGGCATACATAATCTTGGTGAGTCTGTCACAGACTGCAGCTGCAGCCTTGGGTTCACTATCATTTGTTGCACCACGGAAGTTAAAGCATTTAGAGATAAAGGGTTCGTGCTCAAGGAATCTATAGAAATGGTTCCCTTCCTCAAAATCATTTTCCCTATTGAAGAAAGTTGACAATGACAGGAATAAAATTACAGCATGAGTGTAGCTCGTATATTAGAATGCACTTGAAGATTCACAAGTTTCAAAAGCTCTTTTCTTACCCCAAAACATGATGGATGAAGTGCTTCTTGCATAACTGTTTTCCAATCTCAACAGCCTAAACATTTGTGTTGGAATGAAAACCATTTAGGGGAAATGTTACATTTAGAGAAACAAAATTGGGGACCAAAATTTGAAATTGTAATATTAAAAATGAATTATTGAATTGGAATTAAATGTATACTAAATTAAAGGTAATGATTATACAAATTTTTATAATTTTATCATATTTTTAAATCAATCTCTATAATTTAAAAGTTTGTAATTTGGTGTATAGACTTTTAAAATATCAACTAGTGTATAGTTTACTTGTAAATTGAGCTGGGACTCCGATAAATACCAACTACTTGAAAATTCAAAAACTATGTATGTGGAAAGATACAACAGGGTTGTTGCTTAAACTTACTGTTTACTTGAATATTTTAAATGGCAAGCATAATTAACAAAAGGTTGATGAAGTCTTAATGTGGTCAAGTAGTGAAAATCAAATTACTAAATTTTAGAAGCTAGGGATTTAATTATAAAACTTTAAACTTTAAGGAATTATAGAAAAATTAGTCTTATTAATGAGTATTTTAAAAATATCAACTGCATATCAATAAATTATTTTAATTACTTAAGAATATGTCATAAATAATTTTTATGATTCTAATATAATAAACTCTTTTTAGAATTTTTTTTTTCTTAATCTTAAAAATACTGATTAGTCTTTTCATTTCAAAAATATTGAAACCAGAAAAAAAAAATGCTATAATATCATAATGCTACAAGTATTATGATTTTAAATTGTTATAATTTACTCAGCGTAAAACTCTTTCGTTTTCATATATCCTTTAAGATGCTGTTAACGTAACAGAGTTAAGGTAGAGTCCAAGAGGTCCACCCACCACAGGTGGAGACAGATTTTTAAAATTTATTTTTAGTCCCTTGTAAGAAGTGAATGAAATTGCAAAGTACTCCTCATTTAGGGTAAACTAAATATGTATTTGTAACCCTTGCCATTGTAGAGTTCGTCAAACGGGTGCTTGGCTGTTTTCTGTAAGGTTTAGTTTTTCTATTGTCTTTCAAAACTTTGATAAAAAGAAATATTTTTCTAATATATACTTAATTACACACGCAATGAGTAATTAAACACTAGACATTCTCTCCTTTTAATAAAATAAAAATAAAAATTACTTTTACGAAATTTAAAACACTTAATAAAATTATTTTTTTAAAACCTGAATATCTTCGCCTATATTATTAAGTAAAAATAAAATTTTCAAAAAATATATAAGAATATATTGCATGAAAGATTAAATTTTTTATAAAATTTATAAAATTTAAAAATAAATATTATAATTTTAATGATAAATATTTTATTATATTAAAAAATTAAATGAAGAGATAATTTTTAATTTAAAATAAATTATAAAAAATTTAACAATAAATATTAAATTAAAAATAAATACTTAATATGAAAAAAATCACTAAACAGAAATCTTTGAATTAGTTCGTGTTTGACTAGCTAAGTTGATAAATGACTTACATTTTTTTTACTTCTTTTATATATTTTTAATAAGTTTGGTATCAAGTTTTATCATTTATATTACAAAAAAATAAAAATATAATTTTTATTATATTTTAAACAAAATAACTTTGTCTATTCACTGCTTCATGGGATGACATTGATTTTTTTTATCTGATAATAATTTAAAAAAAATTATTTTTAATATATATATTTATAAATTATATATAGAAGTTGACGGTATTTACTTTTTTTATTAGTATTTTATAAAAATTATATAAAACTAGCAGGACCTTCAAACTAAGTAGAAATGGCTACTTTTCATAGGTCAAACAAAGAAATGGCTAATAGTAATAAAAGTGATATCCAATAAATAAAAAAGAGATATATTATTTTTATAATAACATTTTTTTCTATTTTTCTTTATCACGTTATTCATTTAATCACTTCTTTTTTAATTTCTATTTATTTAATTTTAAAAAATAACAATTTTATTGTAAGAATAACATTTCTCAATAAAAAAATAATGTGAAAAACATTCATATTATTGTTTAAAAGGAATTATTATATAATTTAAAATATATAAATTTCATAATTTATCAAGTTAATAAAGTAATATAGAGAATAAATTATTAAAATTAAATAACAAAAAAATATAAAAGGTAAGTAGAATTCAAAACAAGAAAAAGAGAATTTGAATTGTTTCCAAGTATTTCCATTTTTTTCTCGTCTTTTTCTTTTCCTAAAATGTGGTCTATATCTATATATCGGACGAAAGTGTAAAAATTTGTCCCACTTTTTGGAGGTTGCCAAAATTTAAAGAAAAATAAAAGATACAAATAAAAGTCCCAAACAAACGGTAAATTCTATATTAATTCTCAAAAAGTCAATATTACCAAATTAAATCTAATTATTTTTGGTACAAATTAAATCTTAATTATCAAGTAACATCGATTTAAATTTAATAAATACTAACATTCGAACTATTTTAACGTTATTCATGTTCTTATAGCAAAATGTCAATATTATTTCAAGCGTTAAGAAATTCACCATCTCAAAGTCAAAATTTCAAATCATAACTCATAAAAAAAATCAAAAAGACAAAATTGACGTAATAAATAAAATAAGGAAAGAAACAATATGACTCCGTGAAGTATAAGCATACGATCATACTATTGTCACTTTATGTATATCCTCCCATCGTAGTTAAAGATGAATTTTAAGAAAACGAAAGCATAATTTTTAATTAAAATGAAATATACGTCATATATAATACATAAAAACAATTATTTGATACCAAGAGAAGAAACCAAATATACTATTTTTTTTCTTTTAACAAATATACTATTTTATAAAAATAGAAAATAAAAAATTATAAAATTAATATAAAAATAATTATTTAATCTAGGTAAAAAAATACAATATAAAATTTTTCAAACTTCTTTTTTCCATGTTAGAAAAAAGAAAAATGAAAAAACAGAACAGCAGAAAAATTGAAGGTACCTTGGAAGTAGCATAGCCATGGTGGTGAACGAGAAGCTCCACCAGCTCACTCGAAGCGAAGCAATTCCTCACAATCTTCATCTTCACCAACCGGTCCTGAATTGGTAACCTCTGCCTCAAAACTCTCACCACCTTCACCACCGTCTCCTCCTCCTCCACCTCCTCCAACGCTGCGTCGAACCCGTACTCTGGCACCGCAGGCACATCGCCGGCGCACTTTCCTGCCATTTCCTTCAAACGCTTCTCCAATTCATCGCCGCCGTTTTTCCTCAACATGTTCAGCTCCACCAATCCTCCGATGAGCTTGTCGTTGAAGAAGATCTTCGGCACCGTCGCGTTCCCCGTTCTCTCTCTCAGTTCCTCCTCTCGTTCCACGTACACGTCCACGTTGATCTCCACGAACCTAAATCCTCTCTCTCTGAAGAATCTCCTAACCGCGACGCACTCTCTGCAATTCGAACGCGAGAAGAAGCTGATTCGTCCCTTCGCGAACGGCGCGTCGTTTTTCTGCGTCACCAACACCTTGAGCCCGGAGAGGTCGAACTCTGTCACGCCGTTGGCGTTCTTGTTCTTGTAATTGTTAGACGAGGAGTCGTTTTGCTTCAGCGTGGAGATCCCTCTGGAGATCGCGGACGACAGGTCGTTGCGGCGCTGGCGGAGGAACCTGCCGAAGGAGGAGGGAACGACGTCGTTTGGGTTAGAGTTGGAAACAGAGGGAGGCACTGGCTTGGGAAGAAGGGAATGAGGTTGGACGATGGAGAGAGTGGGAATGGGAGTAACGGCTACGTGACCGTTGGCGTGATTTTTGGTGTTTTGAATTGGGTGTGGCGTTTGGGCTGTGTTTGGTTCTGTCGATTGTTTTGTTGGGGTTGAAGTTGAATTGGGTTCTTCCACTTCGGAACCCATTTTTCTGTGTTCAAGAATCAGAGGATGAAGAATCTCGTTTCTGACTCAGAAAATAAGACGTTGAGTGGAGAAAACGAGGTGAGGGAAATGGGGCTATGTGAAGGAGCTTTTAATGTTGAGAATTTGATTGACTAAGGAAAATCTAACACAAAAAATATAAATAAAATTGGATTTATAAACATTTCATCAGCGTTATCAGTTACAGATCCCTTGAGGGAGAGCTACTGTATCCAGAGATTTTTATGTTTCACTAATTTTCTTTTTATATGCACTTCAAAATATAAAGAAATACTTAAAGATGCTCTGTTTAGATGTTTATAATTAATTTGATATTATTTATTTTATTAATTTATAATGTGTGTTTAAGAATAAATAGTGATTAAAATTAAAATATTTAATGATTTAATATACTACATTTTGTGACTTAAAATATTATTGAATATTGTTATTTTTAATTAAAAATTTAATTAATCTTATTTTTATATGAATAAACATGAAAAAGTTATATATTTATTTATCAACTCTCACCACTGAATTTTTTTTAATTATATCCTGTTATTTAATATAATTTTTTTAAGTGCTCCATTTTAAGGGGAGTGTATAAAATATTTTCTTTAAAATATATTAGTGATACTTATGTGTGTTAAATATTTTTAAATTAAAATATATTTAATAAATTTAAAAATTAAATATTTTATTATTTATAATAATTATTTTATCATATAAAATTAAATTAAATTTATCATTCAAACCATTATAAGTTGAGTGTTGAGAAAGATTAATGCGGAGGGTACGAGGAACTAGTCGAGAGGGAGACATGGTCTTACTTGGTTCGCTCATTTTTCTTTTAATTTAGAAATTTTCAATTCACTCAACGTGAATAAGTTAATTCACCGAAATGTTGAAACGGTTCAGAATTTTATATTTAAAGTGGATATTTTGGGTAGGTGTTCAACAATCCATTCAAATGATCAAGGATAAATTATGTTTTTATATAAATATAATCAATTTTAATATTATTTTCAAAATATTTATTTATTTTTATTTTTATTTACTTAAATTTTTAAGATAATATTTTTGTCATTTAATAATAACATTACAAACTTTAAAATAAAATATAAAAGTTTATCCCGTTGAGTTATTATATTTTATTTTATAATTTTTTGTCTTAAAAAAGTGATGAATTATATATTTTTACTTATATTTTATATATTTTTTAATATTTAAAAATTTTAAAAATATAAGTTTAATATTTTTAATAAAAATTATTTTATTCATTTTACAAAAATATTTTAAAATTTTAATTATAATTTCTCACCAAAATAAATTGTAGTTATAAATTGAAGAAAATTATTATAATTTACTATTATAAGCATTTCAAAATTTTTAATATATAAATTTTGATAAAAAGATAAAATTTGCCTTTTAAATATAATTTACCTGTTATTTTATTATTACTTATTTATTTCAATCATTAAACGAAACAATATTGTATTATCTGCTTTATTATTTTAATAGACATTAAACACACGATAAAACAAGAAATTATCAGTTTTTATTATATTTTATCAATCCAACTTTTACATGTTATCAATTTTTTATTTATTATATTCACTAAACGGGTACTATTTATCATTTTTAAATTATTGCTAACTTAAGATAATAGAAATTATTTTTAAAAATAATTATTAAAAAATAAATAATTAAGAAAATTTGAAGAATTAAAGTGTAGTTTAATTATATTTATAAAAATTAAAAATACATTTAAACTAATTATTCATAAGTAAAGACAAATGAATGCCTTTTAAATTTGTAACTGTTTATACTTTTGTTTTGTTATTTTTGTTTCTAAAATCATTTGTTATTTTTATTTAATACATCTTATTCAATCCTGAATAAAATAGGTATAACTAACAAAACTTTTTAATTATATTTTAATGCAGTCACATTTTCTAATTCTTGTATTTTAATATATTTATACAATTAAGGTTAATTAGCTATTTCTAATTATTTTTAAATCAACTTTAATCAAATATTTTTATTTATTTTTTGATAATTTTTTTATTTAAAATAATAATATTATACAAGTTTATTTTGTTTTAATGTTAAGTTATCTCAAGATATTTAGTCTTATTAAAGTCATATAAACTTTATATATTAGATGTTTAAAATGGGGCCACGATAAAAGAATATAGTGACAATACTTCTAATAATACATTAAGAGTAGAAAGGATTTTTTTTATAATTCTAAAAATTTTTACACTTATTTTAAGATTTTTATTTAATTTATATTTAACAAAATTTATATTAGTTTGAGAATATCTTGTCCCTAAGAATAATTATTTAAGTTGTGTTTGGATAAGGTAATTAAAATTTTAAAAATACTTAAAATTTAAAAAAATTAAAATCACATCATTTAAATTTCTATTATTTTAAAATATTTATTTGTATAAAATAATTAATTTTTTTTATTTTAAATATTTTTATTTGGATACAATAATTAAGTTACTTACATTTTTAAAAGAAATTATCACTATATTTGACAAAATAATAAAAAATATTATATTTAAATTATTAAATTAATCATAACTAAATAAAAATATGAATAAAACACATAAAAAATAAAAAAATTATTTCTAAATTCTCGCTCTTTTATTACAATTTAAAATTATTTAATTTTTAATCTATTAAAAATTTTCATTAAAATTTTTAAAATTTATATTTTTATAAGTAAATTTTCAAACTACAAATTTTAACTCATAAAATTGTAAATTCTTTTAAAAATATGAATTACTCACTTGAAAATTTCTTTCAAACACACTTTGATTTTTTTTAAGAATTGGTTATCAAAGAAAAAGAGAGGGAAGCAGAAAGTTTAGGTAGTAATTATCTTTATTTCTATTAGATAAAATAAGAAAAATTTATAATCTTCTAAAACCTTTTCAATATTATGTTTTTAAGTTCTTCCAATTTATGAAATTTTGTATTAACTCTTCTTCTTACTCTTTTTCTTTCTCTTCCTTTTTATCTTTCAAACTTTTTTCTTCTCTATTCTTTCAAACTCCCAAATAAAGTCTCAAAGTGTGTTTGAAATTTAAATCTAAAGAAAATAAAATATTTATTTGTTATTAATAGTTGTTTAAGAATTTTTAAATGAAAGAAATTTTTTATAAACTAAGCGTAACATCAAACAATTGAAAGATTTTTTGGTTAATCCTTCTTCTCTTTTTCTCTCTTTCCCTTCAAATTTTTATTTTTCTCTCCACACTTTCGAACAAAGCATTAATTATCCTTGATCCAAAGTTGTTGCATTATTAAATGAGTTTAATTATAAAAGTAAATATTTAAAATTTTAAAAATGACCTGTTTTAAAATTATTTATTTATTAATAAAAATAAAAAAGTATTTTTTATTTATTAAGGAAATATATTTTTAAATGATTTTGGATTTTTTAAATTAAAGTGAATAATTTCAGTTGAAATATTCAAATTATTCATGAATAGAGAACTTTATATTTAATATTTTTTTATAATTTGAATGATTTTTATAAAATCATATTTAAATAAATTTTTTATAATTAATCCCTTAATAAATAATATTTATTTGTATTTAATATAACTATATTAAGAAATTGAAATTTGAAGAAATTAATAACTATATATGTGATTATATACTGTCCGTTCTACATTTGTCGGATGTACAACTCAGATTAAAAATTTTCTTTCATTATCATCAATAATACATTGCTACATCATTAAATATGTTTATATGATCATAATAATAAAATAATAATAATAATAATATCAAAATTTTAAAATAAATTATTTTAAATTAATTTAATTATTAATAATGAATGAAAATATTTTTTTATATAGCAAATTAATACATCATACAGACAATTTTTCTGAAATTTATAAATAAGTGAATGATAAAGGATTAAGGATATTTAAGTTAAAGTAAATAATTTCTGTAGAAATACTCATATTATTTATGATTAAATCTATTTGTATATTTTATAGCTATTTATTTGGCTTTTTCATTTTCTTTATCTAAGGATATAGACTGCGAGATTTGTATAAGTTGAAACATAGAACTTCCTACTAAATAAATGCATCTCACCTGTGTTAATGCAATAAGATCTTACACTATTGCATTAATTCTTTGGATTTAACAAATTTACTATTTTAGAAATTATTTTTATTTTCATTTAGCAAAAGCATATTAAAAAAAAATCAAAATTTGATATATTTAATAATTATATACATATACAATTAAATTGTTATTTTTTTTTCTAGATAAAGGGGCTAAAAGCCCAATTAAATTGTTATCTTTAATTTATATGGACGTAGTTATGATTATAAAAATACTTTTACTACATAAATACTACGATGATAATTCAAATAAAGAGGTTCAAAATAAAATAAAATAAAAAGTTGAATAAAAGATTTTGTTAATCTTTTCAAAAGCAACCATTTTAAAGCATTTAAGAAAGCAAAGAGTTAGAAAAATAAACACACCAAATTTATACTAGTCTTTAATCTTAGTTATAAAGTTTACTATATCTTAAATTTGTACACAAGTATTTTAGCTAAGTATTCTTATATAAATCTTTCTAAACTTAATTAATCCTAAATATTCTTTTATATATTATTTTTTTAGACAAATAATCACTCTTCACCACTTAGCCTATTTAAGTTAACACAACTATATAAAAAAATAAATGAACAGAGAAAATTTTGAATAAATAATTTTATTTAAACACATTTCTTTTTAATCAATTTTTATACTCGAACTATCTTTTAAGTCTATCTTACCATTTGTGTTATTTTTTTAATTGTCTTTCACATGACCACTCTAATCTTACATTATCTCACCAATAGTATAATTTTTACTGAGTATTTGATCCTATCATCCTTATAGACACTACTAAATTACTTAAATAGACAAATTAATAATACAAAACATCAGTTTTCTTAATAAAATAATTTTCATTATCAAAA